CACTTTCAATCCATATGGTTCCTGTAGCTACCTATTCCTGAGGTATTTAAAAGTTGCAAAAAGGAACTTGCAGATATCTTTGCCACCAACAAATAGTGCAAATAATACAAGTGTTGCATTTATAAAGAACAATGAATTAATGTAGTAATTTTTGTGGTTTCTAAATAATTAATTAAATTGCAGCTGTTGAACTATTAGGCTTTATCTATACTCGGGATTTTCTCAAATTCTCCAATTTGATATTGCACTGATGTTGTCTAGACCTGCTCTAAGCAGGGTGAGCTGACACAGTGGATAAAATGCTGACAATTATTTTACACTAGCACTTCCATCACTGTTATCATAGTGGAACTGCATTGGTTGTAGAACAACCGAGAGAGACTTTCATTCTACTCTATTTTTTCACACTCATAACATTCCAAACCCCTTTAGGCTGAAATTTTGTACACTCTGTCACTGCTACAAGATAAATATTCCTTTGAAAGTTTTAGCTAACTTTACAATTTTGGAGTTATGAGAAGGTTAATCTCTTCTCCCCTCCTATCCCTGTAAAAAAAACCCCACCCTCCTATCCCTGTAAAAAAAAACCCACCCCACCATATTTCTCACTTCTCGTTGCAAAAGACCATTTTTTCCACTGGGTAACTCAAATGACTGAAGTTTAGGGAACTGATTCTGAACTTCATTATACCAATATAATTCCATTGACTGTAATTGAGTGGAACTCTCATAAAACTGTTGATACAGTGGAGAGGCCCTAGAACTTCAAATTTGGTGTAAAAATCAGCCCTGATAAGTAGGATGTACTTTGCTAAAATGTCCATTTTAAAATATCAAAGTTATGTGAACTTTTGAAATATGTATACCGTAGAAAGTTACTTTATGCTATAGCTGTGCAATCAATGATGGAAACACTACATTTGTATGCACAGATAATTAAATTCACACATATTTGCTGAAATAATTTATAAGCCCCACTGTTGAAGTTTATGGAGCAAGCAATCTCTAGTAGACAAAGGAATTTACAAGCTTTGCAAGCTAATTATCTGTAAAGAAATGTATAGGAAATTAAACTAAAAATACCAAATCAAACCAAAGTCCTTAGCATTAACTGTACTAACATCTGCATTGCCTTTTCTGTGGTGTCACCATATGTGTCTCGGACATGCCTCCACCACCACTTCAAGAAGGTTCATGGACCAGTTGGTTCAATATTCCATCATTTGCGTAGCAAATGTGGTTGTTATTCAAAACATATATATCTGACTTTGATATATCTGCTATACTTTGCATTAAGGCCTGCAAGACTTTATTATGATGAAAAAATGGTTACCTTTTATTATAAACTAGCAGCTAAACAAAGCTGTTGCATGGGTGTGGCAGTTGGGCAAGTAATCCACCATGCAGTCTCCCTCACACAACCAGTGATATTTTTGTATGCAAATTAGCTGTAGAGTAAGGGTGATGATTGGTTGAGTTACCGTAGATGTCACAATGAACTGGAACTCTTGGCATGGCATAGATCAATGCCTTACCGTGGCTGTACACTGTACAGGTGTAATTCATAAAGTCAAAATGGCTGAGAACTTAAAAATTGGTAACAGACCACAAATCCTAGTGGGGATTGAACCTGGCAATAGTCAAAACAAAAGGTGCTTTCAGCCACGCCTGTAACTGTGTCCATCATTTCACACTGACTCAGAAAACATTCTAGGCTTCAGAAAGATACAGTGTGACAATTCTGTAATTTTATTATATAGATTAACAACAAGATTGCACACAGATATTGATTTTATTTAACTATTTCAGAACATCCATGGGAAAGAACAGAACTGAATGGAAGTTACTATGAAATAGGAAAGGAAAACAAGTGTTTTGAAGCATGCTTTTGAGAAATTAAAGGCCTTTCCCATGTGTTTATTTGATTATGAAATGTCACGCTGACCATGGCCTGCTATTCACTTTAGTGAGACGCTTGCTACATTTTTAGTCCTTGTACCGAGTAGGCGTGGCCTCCCGCAGAGATTGACAGGGAGGGACCAAAACCTATCACCTGCTGGGTGGAGTGAGGAAGGCCCTGCCCCACCCACTGGAAGCAGAGAGGCGGGACAGGAAGAGGAAGTATAAAAGGCCTTGCAGCTCAGTTGGGCTGGAGCCACCAAGGGAGATGGGTACATCCCTCTTGCTGCTGGAGCCTGAAGAGGACCCTGGCCTAGTGCTTACCAACAGCTGTGTAAGCAATGGGAACAATGGGTTCAACCTAACAAAAAAAAAAAGAGGGAATTTTCTCAGGAAAACCAAGTAAAAGGAGAAAAAGCAAGCTGCTTTAAAAGGGCTAAAAATTGTAGCCAGTACCCTGGGTTTAGAAACAGATAAATTTAGAAGAGAAATACAAGAGTTAAGAAAAGAAAAAAAGACATAGAAAAAAAGTAGTTACATTATGAGCAACTATGTTAACTCAGATGGTTCAGATTATTGATTCACAAAATGAACTAAGTGAGATAAAAAGCGAGCAGGAGAAATTGGTTCAATAAATTGAAGCATGGAAACAAAAAGCAAAAGATAGGCAAGCTGCAAAGAGAATTGTACTCTCGGATGCAGGTAAAAAGAAAGAAAGAAATCATGCAGCCTGTAAAAGACAAATATGTGCAGTAAAGGAGGAATTAAGAGTAAGTAAAGGGGGAAAAGCAGTGATAAAATCTGGGAGTGGTGAAGGAATAGGATTTGTACGCCCCTTTTATCACTATTTCAAGGAACCTTTCCCAGGATCTTCTAGAACTACAAAGACCACCTCCTATGGCTCCAATCATTACAACTACAGTGATTAAAACCACTGTACATGGTAATGAGGGAGGATGAGAGGAATGAACAGAAGAAAGATCATATATCCCAGAAGAAATTAGGGTTTGGGGAAAGTCTATGGGACTCCTAACTAGAAGTACAGTAGTTGGAAAGTTAGCTAAGGCACCAAGAATGCCTGAGTTAACAGAGAGTGACTTCTCAGCTCTAATAAAAGAATGTATAAGTACAGAAGATTTTGCAGGACATACCTATGAAATGCAGGGTGGAGGACATAGAGATAAAATCTTGAAATTTATCTTCCCTAATGATGACCTGGTTGTGTGGTTCCATAGGGAAAAACAACAACCAAGAGAAAGACCAGCACCATATGTAGCCAGAAGGAAATTATTGTATAAACACTCTGGGATTATCCCAGCAGGTAGAGTAATAATATATGATGTAGTACAATTTAAAAGAGCTTTATTGTTGGGGTTTAATTCAGCATTAAGAATGGCTATGGTTTCTGACTATCCAGAAACTACTGTATTACAGGAAATAGAGGAACAAGCGAAAAGACTGTGTGAAATACAAAGGGAAACGTTCCAGCCTTTAAAGAAAAGAAAATATTAAGAGAACCATGTTATCCTTTAAAAGAAAAGATACAGTGTCAGTGGTGACCTTTCCCAATAATGGTCCACAAGGAAAAGGAAACCAGCAAAGCAAACAAAATAAAGAGGAATTAAGAAGAGAAGAAAAGAAAAATAAAAGTTTGTTCCCTCCAAAAAGAAAAGTTGGTGACTTAGGAAGAAATTGGCTTTGAAGAAAATTATTACAGTACAAACCTAGAGAGCAAATTAATGGATTACCTATTGAAGAATTTCTTTGAAGATTAGCCAACCATGAAAGGAGCATACCCATTGCTCCACCATGTCCCAAAGATCAGGTATAGAGAAGCCAGGCACCCTCTATTTTTTCCAATATGAACAAAAGATCCTGCTGATTTTGTGGCACATTTTAAATCAGATGGTTGGGGAAGACCCAATGTGGAATTTAATAAGGGAGCATTCGGACAAAATATGTTAATAGATACAGGTGCCACATTTTCTTTAGTTAGTACTAAAAACAAAAATGTATTTGGACCCCCAGTAACAATAAAAAAAGTTGCAAGGATTTAATGAAGCAAAGAGTAAGGTGCCATTCAGCCCTCCAATTTGCTTTCAACTAGGAACTAAACAAGGATGGGAACTATTTGGTTTAATAAATCTGGATGGAGATGGAATAATAGGTATAGATATATTGAAAAACTTTAAATTAATATTAGATTTGGTAAATAAAGTATGAGAAATAAAACAAAGGTCTTAGACCAACCAGTTGTTATTGAAGCAGGATACAGGTTAGCTACCCTTAAGGCTGCTGAGGAAATAGAATGGCCCAACTGGCCAGCAGAAGTAGTAGAAATTGCAAAGAAGCATAAAGAGGTTTGGGTCACCAATAAAGTAGAATGTGGGAAAATTAACACAGAAGTTTTAATTACTGGACCTGATCACCCCCCCCCAAAAGCAGTATAAGTATCCCAAAGAAGCAGAACCTAGTCTAATGAAAACTATTCAAGGGCTCTTGGAGCAAGGAGTCATAATAGAACAACAAAGTATAAATAATGAAGCCATTTGGTCAGTTCTAAAAGCAGATGGTAAAACCTGAAGGTTAACCATTGATTTCAGACCACTCAACAAAGTAACTCCAATGACTGCTCCAGTGGTAGCTAAATATCCAGAAGTAATAGCCTCTATTATGAAAGGAGCCCAGTGGTTTACAGTTCTAGATTTGGCAAATATGTTCTTTGCTATACCTTTACATCAACATTCTTGCTATAAATTTGCATTTATGTTTCAAGGACAGCAGTATGTATTCACCAGAACTCTATAGGGTTTCCATAATAGTCCTGCTGTCTGTCATATGCATGTGATTAAGATTGGACCAATCTTATAGCCACAAGAGTGGCAAATAGGTGATATGGTTATGTATAGATGAGTTAAAGAAAAGGGTCATGTGCTTAGTCCAACATGGATAGGACCAGTAAGAATAGTTAATAAAGCTAGTCCCAAGGTATATCAATTAGATATACAAAAAGGAAAAAGAAAAGTGTCAAAATGGTTCTATTTGTCACAATTGAAAAGGTGAAAGGGAAAATCAAAATAGTAATAATATCTCTCTTATAGGAAAAGAAAAGAATGGAATAAAAAAGAATGCAACAGGAAGGAATGCAAAAAGAAGTATGGGATGAAAGAGTATGGTATGAATTTCCAGAATTCCCAGAAGACCACAATGACTTATTTGAAAGTGTACCAGTTATAGAAACTAACTCAAATCCAGTAATAGAACAATAACACTGATAAATCAGGTGATGGAACAACCACTCCAAGTTATAACATAATTGTGGAAAGACCAACATGGAAGACCAATAATAGACATAAATATAGACAAAGGAAAAATTCAACAATTATATTACTTAGACACAGCATCTACATATTCAGTGTTAAATAATACAGTATATATAATACAACAGACTTTCTCCCATATACTTCTCCAGAAAGAGCAGAAATACAGGGAATAAGAAGAAAATTCTACTGAATGTTCCACTCATAGTTGGCATAAGAAATGAAGAAGTAAAGAATGTGCATTTTGGAATAATGAAACTTGGGGTAAATGGACTTTGAATAGTAGGGGTAGATATTCTCAAAGTATTGCAATACTTAATAGCTCTTGTAAAAAACCATTCAATGGGCAATAGAGTAATGTAAGAATAAGTTTTTTAAAAAGGGGAAGTGTGTGTAAAATAAAAATAAAATGTGTGTGGAATTTTTTGTTTAATTATTAAATTTAATAGAGAACGAGAGAAAGACAGAAAAAGAAAGGAGAGAGTGAGAAAGAAAGAAAAGGAAGCCTGGCAGGAGAGTGGTTTGAGGACCTCCTGGAATCAAATGAACAATAAATATTAAATTAATAATTATGTCATTATGACATATTTATTAATACTTTAATAGAAGAAGAGGATAGTGGTATAGATAAACAGCCAGAGGAGAATGAGGAGGTGCCACCTATGGTTATAGCCCAGCTGTTTTTTGACCCATCTGGAAGACCTTAACCCAATAAGAGTTAATTCAGCAGAGACAGAAATGCTCTGTTACCTAGATACGGGGTCTAACATTTCAATTTTAAACATAGCGACAGACTTTGACCTTGTGCAGTATGCCTTAGATTATATATATATATTTATGTGATTATGGGAACATTAGGAGGACAGACCCCTAACCAGATCAATATCAATTAATATAAGATTTTGACAATTGAGTGATGGACCAGGGGAGCACAGTCGTATGGAATAATCGGCATGGATATTATAGGAATGTTGGATTGTCTGATTGATGTGGGGAATAAAATATTATGGGATACCAATTAAAAGGAAAAAAATTATTGTTAAAATAGGTAGTCATCGTATTATTGTATTAAAATAGTTGGTTAGCTTATGCAATAGTAATAGTTTAATAATAATTTAAAATAGTATAGTTATAGATAGGTAAAATAGTATAAGAATATATGTTATGTATATTTTTTCATAAAGTTAATGGTTAATTAAGTAAATACATACTTTTATAAGGAAAAGGGGTCTTTTGTTATTCCTGTCTTACAGACAAGAAAAGCCAGATGGTGGAAGATGCAGTTCTATTCATCCTGGCTCTTCTGGATGTTTATGGCTACTGGATTCTGCTAATGGTAGTGCAAATTTGGATGTGAAGAAATAAAAAATGACGATTCAGTGGACCAAGTCCAATCAAACGGCTATTGCCAATAGTAATGTGGAGTGTTTTCTTACAATTCCAGAAATAAGTGCTAAACTCAGAATAGTAAAAGTTGTAGTGGGACCTATAAGGGTTATAAATTTTATTGCACAAAATCACTTAGGCAAAATGTTTATTACAGAAAATGCTCATAAATGTTTTATTATATTCTCCTCTTTAGGCAAGGGAACCTTAGGTTCCCATGATCACCCCTCACCAGAGTCAATAAAATGTGAACTGGCAGCTGAAGAAGGAACAGGTGCAATATAGGGAAAGGCAGTAAGTACCAAACAATGGCAAAGTGCGCTAATAGACAAGTTTGAAATATTTGCACGTTCCTATAGTCTCTCGGTAGCATTAGAAAGAATAACTAGTACCCCTTCTGTAATTAAAATACCAACAAATAGCATCCAGGCAAAAGAAGAGAAAAATAATATTACAATGATGTGTGAATGGTCTTCAGACAACAATAAGAAGAAATGGAGTTTAGTACATGAAACCAAAATATTAAATATGAAAGAGGGCCATACCCGATGGATAAACCCATCTAATCCATGGGACAAAGGGAAAATTATCTAAAGTTCTGTCATATTAATTGGACAATAATATAAATGGATTTGGGTAAACAAGGAAGAAACATGGGCACATGTGTCAATGACATATTGACTACGACAAAATATGAGAATTATAAATGATGGCCCAGGAAAAGATAAACCTAGGCTGTGGTACAAAGGGGAAGGGGTTTGTATATGGAATGACACAGGAAGAAGCAATTGTACACAAGTTTTAGAAAGAAGCTTTTCATGTGCCTTCATAGCATGGCATGCCCCCAAATGGACAGGAGATGATAAAGAATTAATATTATTAAAATGGGTTCATAACAATGCTAGGATAAAAGATGCTTCATTTAATGTCATTGAGCCACAGGGAGGAGTTAGCAGAATAAACATTCAATGTGAAGTATGACCAAAAAGTTATATTTAGAAATTAATTAAGCCTGCAAGTACCCTGGTATGAACAAATGATAGGAGGTAGTTGAATGTAAGGGAAACAGTACAGGCCAAATTTTGTTTGTCTGTTGGGGCGACAGTAGTGTAATTATAACAAAAAGATGTGCAAGTGGAACATGGAGAATTACTGGCCCTAATTTCAATTATACTTTTACTATTCTATGGATATTCAAGCCTAAACAAATCCACATTGGTCCTTATGTAATAAAGGAGGAGGCTAAAAGACAATAATAGACACCGCTTATTCTTTAAAAAAGGTAATAGTGAATTTAGCCTCTATGAACATTTCACCCACACAGCCACAATGTATTAAATATGTTGAACCTCAATAGATACAGTGCTAGGAGGAGCAGGCACAGAACTTGGAGTACTAAACAGTATAGATGTACAGGTGTTGGCTAACAAGTTAAGTGCAAAAAGAAAAGGAGTACTTGTAGCACCTTAGAGACTAACCAATTTATTTGCGCATGAGCTTTTGTGAGCTACAGCTCACTTCATCAGATGCATACCGTGGAAACTGCAGCAGACTTTATATACACACAGAGATCATGAAACAATACCTCCTCCCACCCCACTGTCCTGCTGGTAATAGCTTATCTAAAGTGATCATCAGGTGGGCCATTTCCAGCACAAATCCAGGTTTTCTCACCCTCCACCTCCCCACACAAATTCACTCTCCTGCTGGTGCTAGCCCATCCAAAGTGACAACTCTTTACATAATCAAGTCGGGCTATTTCCTGCATAACACCTAGGAGCTTTGTCCGAGCCTTTAAAAACATCTTTAAATGACATAAGCACTAGTCATTTTCTAATAGCTAGCCTACTCTCTAGCTGGGAAAAATTACAAAAAGCTGATCATTTAGCCATACTACATACAGTAGAGGTATTGCAAAGCAATTTATCCATGGCATTGGCTTGCATACAAGCACAGATTTGGACTAATGACGTGGTAAAAGATATTATAAGAGATGGAATGAATGGAATCTTACCTTTAGAAATAAGAAGTATAGTACAGAAACATGCCACTAAGGCTGAGCAAAATTAATATTCCTTGTGGAAGATGGCGAATTTCACATACAATCCTCAACTAAATCAAATTACCACATTCATAGTCATAATGTCTAATGCCCAAATTGAATGGATATCTCCTATTGTAGCACTCGGGTTAAATGTTAATAACAGCATAATGCAACATATAGAACACAAATTATGGGCCATAAGGTAAAACTTTACATGCAAAACTTTACATGCAAAACTGTGGAACTTGAAGCTTGTATGGAAGAACATGGAATTGGATAAAATTGCAATAGTGATGTAATCCAGCCATATGATGTATGTTTAAATGAGGAACGGGGAAAGTCATTATCAGTTAGACCCTTAGATCCATTTAATGGATCAGTTGTGTATATATTGGAAATAAATGTGTATGTGTTAGAAGTTGGTGTAAATTGTTTAAAGTTAATAATTTGGGTGATGTAACTCAGAACCCTTATTACAAAAGCATTTGTTTTCATATCACCTCCATGATTGGTTGCAATTTCAAATTCATGCTACGTGAAACTGGAAATGAGGAAATTAGGGATCAGAATCAAATATATAAAAAGATTCACCTAATACCCTTGGGATTAAATATAAGCTTAGTTAAGCAATTAATGGATCATCCTGACTTACAACAACTAGAAAAAGCTCAGGAAAATTATTACTGTTCACCACTCCACTAAGAAAATTGAGCAAATTATAGAGTGTATAAAAAGTGACACCAAACATAGCTGGTGGGAAGTATTCTTGGGATGGTCTCGTACAGCTACAAGATTCCTTAATACAGTTTTACATCCTGTTGTAATAGTCTTAGCATTTCAGATTGTGATGGCACTGATGCTTATTGTCCTGGTGTGCTGGGTCAAACAAAAATTTAAGCAGCTAAAGCATGTACAGTCCACAAGTATTAAAAGAAACTATAATGGCCAGGGCTTTGGAACTTTGCTCCAGCTCCAGGCAAAAACCTGCAGCTCCACTGCTCCAGAGCTGCTCCGCACTCCAGTGCCGGGCTCTGCTCCAAAGCCTTGATAATGGCACACAGGAAAGTGGATGGTGAGGAACTGTGCCAGTAAGATGAGGTATATGCTCAGTCCTACGGGAGAGCCTTGAGCCAATACTGGGCAAGACCAAACATCCACTGAACTCACCATTTAAATGAGTGGTGGTTTGGTAAATGAGTATAAGCATATCACGCACCAAGGAGGGGACGGATACAAGAGGCTTTTAGCTGCTCTATGCTCTGTAAGAAAATCAGCAGCATCAAAGAGAGCAGTCAGCCATGCAGTTGTAAATATTCAGAGAGAGAGAGACAACATTGTAAAATTCACCTCCCCCAATTAGCATAACAAAAGTGGTGACAGTATCATAATGCTTAAACATGCATAAAAATGTAATCAGAGATTTAAGGCTTTTGATAAGTAATAAATAGGGATAGTTTAGAACAAGTTTTCCAAAATGGTGGCCACAATGATTTTACATTAGAAAAATTAAAATGGAGGACTCAGGCTGAGTTGACCAAAAGCAGACAGGTAACTGGGGTGAAGTAAAGTTCAGCAGGGTCAGACTGAGTTCACTCCAAAATACCTGAAGGGAGGGGTCAGTCAGGTGAGAAGGAGGTTCTCAGCCAGGGCCAGCTCAAATGACAGGTAAAGCTGATTGGCTGAATAGGTATCACCCCAAAGGGAGGAACTATGCTAATTACTAGCATTGAGAGAGCAACCAATCAGAAAGGATCAAAAATTGTATATATGGCAGAGAGCTGACAGGCTTAGTGTGGGTGAACAGAATGGCAGAACTAGAGAAAGCTGAATATCACTGAAATCCTTGACAGAGCAGAAAGACCATAGATGGTGAAGAAGGAGAATAAGTATAACTTCTTCGGAATTATAAGGAATGCATAGGTATGATTGTAAATAAAGCTGGATGTCTGTATCTGAATGGATTTTATCCCAGCTATTCTATGATTGCTTGATCACCACTTATGGAATGTTATTTAGTAATGTCCTTTAATGTGTAATGTTGTTTTAAACATATGTATAAGGGTTTGGTACTATATTATAACACTGTATTAAGGCTTTATACATATGCATAAAGGGTCTATGGGTACTGTGTTGTGCAACATTGTATCTGCTATATAGTTTGTGTAGTCTTTTTTGTTGCCTTACTATAATTTATTAATACAATGCAACTGTACTATGCCTATGTGTTATGTATCACAAAGCATTCTTTCTCAATTATTAAATGTATGGTAACTGAATATTTCCTTTAAATAAATATTACTTTGTTTTTTGAAGAATTACTGCTTGAGCATCAGTCCTTTGAGTGGAATGCTGTATCCGTGTCCTCTCATGGGTTAACAGAACTAATCTGTTCTGGGGAGTCCTCTGAGGGTCAGAGACAAACTCCCTGGTAAAACCAGGCAATTCCTCTAGGATGGGCCACCTCCTGTCACCCATCTAGATGGTCCAATTTGACAATTGGTTTACAGTTATAGGCAGGCCATTATTGGTGTGCCTTGGGTCCAAATTTTGGTATTAACAGCATCCCCCTACCCCTACCACCCCACCTTAGACCAGGAGGCCTGTG